ATACTCAGATTATAATTTTGCTACACTCAGATTATAATTCTGTTATACTCAGATTATGATTCTGTTATACTCAGATTATAATGCAATTATACTCAGATTATAATTCAGTCATACTCTGATTATAATTCCGTATAATAAGATTATAATTCAGTTATACTCATACTCAGATTATAATTCTGTTATACTCAGATTATAATTCTATTATACTCAGATTATAATTCTGTTACACTCAGATTATAATTCTGTTACACTCCGATTATAATTAAGTTATACTCATACTCAAGTTATAATTCACTCAGATTATATTTCTGTTATACTCAGATTATATTTCTGCTATACTCAGATCATAATTCTGTTATGCTTAGATCATATTTCTGTTATACTCACATTATAATTCAATTATACTCAGATTACAATTCTGTTACACTCACACTATAATTCAGTTATACTCAGATTATAATTCTGCTATACTCAGATCATAATTCTGTTATGCTTAGATCATATTTCTGTTATACTCACATTATAATTCAATTATACTCAGATTATAATTCTGTTAAACTCAGATTATAATTCAGTTATACTCAGATTATAAATCTGTTATACTCAGATTAGAATTCTGTTACACTCAGATTATAATTCTGTTATACTCAGAATATAATTCTGTTACACTCAGATTATAATTCTGTTATGCTTAGATCATATTTCTGTTATACTCACATTATAATTCAGTTATACTCAGATTATAATTCTGTTACACTAATATTATAATTCAGTTATACTCAGATTATAATTCTGCTATACTCAGATCATAATTCTGTTACACTAATATGAATTCAGTTATACTCAGAATATTAATTCAGTTATACTCAGAATATAATTCTGTTATACTCAAGTTATAATTCTGTTACACTCAGATTATAAATCAATCATACTCAGATTATAAATCAGTTATACTTAGAATATAATTCAGTTATACTCAGATTATAATTCTGCTATACTCAGATCATAATTCTGTTACACTAATATGAATTCAGTTATACTCAGAATATTAATTCAGTTATACTCAGAATATAATTCTGTTATACTCAAGTTATAATTCTGTTACACTCAGATTATAAATCAATTATACTCAGATTATAAATCAGTTATACTTAGAATATAATTCAGTTATACTCAGATTATAATTCTGCTATACTCAGATCATAATTCTGTTACACTAATATGAATTCAGTTATACTCAGAATATTAATTCAGTTATACTCAGAATATAATTCTGTTATACTCAAGTTATAATTCTGTTACACTCAGATTATAAATCAATTATACTCAGATTATAAATCAGTTATACTTAGAATATAATTCAGTTATACTCAGATTATAATTCTGTTATGCTTAGATCATATTTCTGTTATACTCACATTATAATTCAATTATACTCAGATTATAGTTCTGTTACACTAATATTATAATTCAGTTATACTCAGATTATAATTCTGCTATACTCAGATCATAATTCTGTTACACTAATATGAATTCAGTTATACTCAGAATATTAATTCAGTTATACTCAGAATATAATTCTGTTATACTCAAGTTATAATTCTGTTACACTCAGATTATAAATCAATTATACTCAGATTATAAATCAGTTATACTTAGAATATAATTCAGTTATACTCAGATTATAATTCTGCTATACTCAGATTAGCATTTTGTTTTACTCAGATTATAGTTCTGTTACACTCAGATTATAATTAAGTTATACTCATACTCAAGTTATAATTCTGTTATACTCAATTTATAATTCGGTTACACTCAGATTATAATTCAGTTATACTCAGATTATAAATCTGTTATACTCAGATTACAATTCTGTTACACTCAGATTATAATTCTGTTATACTCAGATTATAATTTTGCTACACTCAGATTATAATTCTGTTATACTCAGATTATGATTCTGTTATACTCAGATTATAATGCAATTATACTCAGATTATAATTCAGTCATACTCTGATTATAATTCCGGTATAATAAGATTATAATTCAGTTATACTCATACTCAGATTATAATTCTGTTATACTCAGATTATAATTCTATTATACTCAGATTATAATTCTGTTACACTCAGATTATAATTCTGTTACACTCCGATTATAATTAAGTTATACTCATACTCAAGTTATAATTCACTCAGATTATATTTCTGTTATACTCAGATTATATTTCTGCTATACTCAGATCATAATTCTGTTATGCTTAGATCATATTTCTGTTATACTCACATTATAATTCAATTATACTCAGATTACAATTCTGTTACACTCACACTATAATTCAGTTATACTCAGATTATAATTCTGCTATACTCAGATCATAATTCTGTTATGCTTAGATCATATTTCTGTTATACTCACATTATAATTCAATTATACTCAGATTATAATTCTGTTACACTAATATTATAATTCAGTTATACTCAGATTATAATTCTGCTATACTCAGATCATAATTCTGTTACACTAATATGAATTCAGTTATACTTAGAATATTAATTCAGTTATACTCAGAATATAATTCTGTTATACTCAAGTTATAATTCTGTTACACTCAGATTATAGTTCTATTATACTCAGATTATAATTTTGCTATACTCAGATAATAATTCTGTTATACTTAATTATACTCAGATTATAAATCAATTATACTCAGATTATAAATCAGTTATACTTAGAATATAATTCAGTTATACTCAGATTATAATTCTGTTACACTCAGATTATAATTTTGCTACACTCAGATATGCTCAGATTATAATTCTGTTGCACTCAGATTATAATTAAGTTATACTCATACTCAAGTTATAAATCTGTTATACTCAGATTACGATTCTGTTACACTCAGATTATAATTCTGTTATACTCAGATTATAATTTTGCTACACTCAGATATGCTCAGATTATAATTCTGTTACACTCAGATTATAATTAAGTTATACTCATGCTCAAGTTATAATTCTGTTATATTCAGTTTATAATTCTGTTATACTCAGATTATAATTCAGTTATACTCAGAATATAATTTTGTTATACTCAATTTATAATTCGGTTACACTCAGATTATTATTCAGTTATACTCAGATTATAATTCAGTTATACTCAGATTATAATTCTGTTATACTCAGATTACGATTCTGTTACACTCAGATTATAATTCTGTTATACTCAGTTTATAGTTCTGTTGTGCTAGGATTATAATTCTGTTATACTCAGAATATAATTCAGTTACACTCAGATTATAATTTTGTTATGCTTAGATCATATTTCTGTTATACTCACACTATAATTCAGTTATACTCAGATTATAATTCTGCTATACTCAGATCATAATTCTGTTACACTAATATAAATTCAGTTATACTCAGAATATTAATTCAGTTGTACTCAGATCATAATTCTGTTACACTAATATGAATTCAGTTATACTCAGAATATAATTCTGTTATACTCAAGTTATAATTCTGTTACACTCAGATTATAAATCAATTATACTCAGATTATAAATCAGTTATACTTAGAATATAAATCAGTTATACTCAGATTATAATTCTGCTATACTCAGATTAGAATTTTGTTTTACTCAGATTATAATTCTGTTACACTCAGATTATAATTCAGTTATACTCAGATTATAAATCTGTTATACTCAGATTACAATTTTGTTACTCTCAGATTATAATTCTGTTATACTCAGATTATAATTTTGCTACACTCAGATATGCTCAGATTATAATTCTGTTACACTCAGATTATAATTAAGTTATACTCATGCTCAAGTTATAATTCTGTTACACTCAGATTATTATTCAGTTATACTCAGATTATAATTCAGTTATACTCAGATTATAATTCTGTTATACTCAGATTACGATTCTGTTACACTCAGATTATAATTCTGTTATACTCAGTTTATAGTTCTGTTATGCTAGGATTATAATTCTGTTATACTCAGAATATAATTCAGTTACACTCAGATTATAATTAAGTTACACTCATACTCAAGTTATATTTCTGTTACACTCAGATTATAATTCTGTTATGCTTAGATCATATTTCTGTTATACTCACACTATAATTCAGTTATACTCAGATTATAATTCTGCTATACTCAGATCATAATTCTGTTACACTAATATGAATTCAGTTATACTCAGAATATTAATTCAGTTATACTCAGAATATAATTCTGTTATACTCAAGTTATAATTCTGTTACACTCAGATTATAGTTCTATTATACTCAGATTATAATTTTGTTATACTCAGATTGTAATTTTGCTATACTCAGATAATAATTCTGTTATACTTAATTATACTCAGATTATAAATCAATTATACTCAGATTATAAATCAGTTATACTTAGAATATAATTCAGTTATACTCAGATTATAATTCTGCTATACTCAGATTATAATTTTGTTTTACTCAGATTATAATTCTGTTACACTCAGATTATAATTTTGCTACACTTGTTGTGAATGTATTGGATTGGATTGGTGTTGTGAATGGATTGAATTGGGTTGGTTTACTTGCACAATTGAGTCGAGTGCTTTATCTTGGGTAATTAAAACAAACAAGCAATCAGTAGTATGACAATTTAGTGACGAGGATGAGCTAAGCAACGGGGAGACTGGTAACAATGCTGGGAAGGATAAACTGCGGTTGAGTGGTAATTGCCCTTATATAGGATGATTTGAGGGTGGAGAGATAAAGCGATTGATACAATGGAAGCTAAGAGGAAGGCTATGGGATAGATAGTTTTTGTAAACGGAATTAGATAACAAACAAAGGATTGGAGCAGATGTGCATTAGATAATATGACAGATTAGCAAGGGAATTTGTTAACACATTACCATCTATGAGTCATTAAGGAATTTGACTTACAATAAAACTTACAATAAATGATTAACATGATTTGCTTAAATATAAATACATTGATTTAAATTTGACCTTTTGCTAAATTCGATTGTTCGGTACAAAGATTATTTCTAGTGGAATTTCGAGCTTGTTCTCGACACTCCCGAGGGAAGAGCGAAAAGTGTTCTAATGGATAGATTTGGGGTTTATAGGATAAAACATTGTGATTCTCAACACCTGATGTCCATTTGCATTCCTTCGTTTCTGCTGCTTGTAGAATTATCGATATTGCTACTGTTAGCAGTAAGTTGGTTAAAACGAAATTTGACTTCTCCCTTTTTTGTAAATTTGTCTGGCTCCGTGTTCGATGAGCAATAGGTTGCTCCTCACCACTTTCACTCGAAATCTTCGTGTTAGTTGTGGTGTTTCGGTTTTGGATAATTGGTTCTGCTCTCTCTGATGGGTTCGCGGGGTTCTCCGGAGTAGACTGTTCTTCTGGAGTAACTTCAAGTGGATACAACGTGCTTACAGGTCGATTTAGAAGTTTTCCTGACGATGTTTCGATCTGAGCGCTCCTGACGTACCCATCATTGGCTACGTTTAATTTCTTTATCCTTGCTAGTTTCCATGTACCACGTGGTGCATGAGGCTCATCTAACAGTACCACTTCTCCTTCAATCGGCCGTCTCTTTTCTACATTTCTTGGAGATTTATGTTCTAATTGGTATCGATCCTTTAAGCTATTCAAGTATTCGTCTTTCCATATCTCCCAAAATGTTTTCAATGTTTCTAGGGTATTCGACCAGTGCTGAAGTAGCCTTTCTTGTGTGGTTAGACTATAAGGTGAGAATTCGTCTTCTCTGTCGTTATTGCTATTCAGTATAGACAAAGAAGCATTGGGAATGATGAAGTCTATTGGTCGCAAAATAATTGAGTCGTCGAAATTTACGTAAGTTAAGGGGCGAGTATTAAGAATGCTTTCCACTTCGATAATCAGTGTGATTAGTTCCCCTTCCTTAAGCAGTCGTCTACCGATAGCTCTTCTTAAACTCCTTTTGTTAGGCCGATTAATCTTTCGTAGATTCCGCCGCTCCATGGTGCTCTCGGTGTTATAGTCTTACATTTGATTCCTTTCTCAGCAAGGAAATTAGAGAGTTGTGATTCTTGCGTTTTTATGGCTTGAAAAACTGCCTGAAATTGGGTGGCATTGTCCGAAAGAATGAGTTCGGGATAGCCGCGTCGCGCAACAAATCTTCTTAATGCAGTTAGGAAACTTTCCGCTGATAGATCGTCCACCATTTCCAAATGTACCGCTCTGGTGGTGAAGCATGTGAACAAGGCGATCCATCGCTTTGCTTTTTCCAATTGTATCTTCACAGTAATCGGCCCCAAATAGTCGAGGCCAATTCGTCCAAACGTTCTTGATTCAGTGATCCGCTCTTGCGGATAATTTGGCATAGGTGGCAATTTGAATGGCTTGGCTTTCCAGCGTTTGCAACTCATACAGCGGTTTAACACCTTCTTGACTTCAGCCCTTCCTTTCGGAATCCAGTAAAGCTTTCTTATTCTGGAAATAGTTTGAGGAATACCTCCATGATGCGTCGTTTCGTGGTGGTGTTGAATAATTAGTTCTGTCATTCGATTGTGTCTGGGGAGATATATTGTTTGGGATGAGTATTCCCTGTCGTTCGGCAATTGTAGTCTGCTCTGGAATCTCCAGTACCTGTCTGCATAGTGCAGATTGTACTTTTCCACTTCTTCTGCTGTTATACCTTCCGATTGGGATTGTTTTATTAGTAGTTCCGCCGCGAGATTGTAATCCTCGGGTGTAATCGGATTCCTTTCTGATACGCTGCTTAACCAGGTTAATTTTCCTTTAGATAATTTTTTGAGAAATTTTAGTACTCTTACTGTTGTTCTTATCATCTTTGTCCATTTACTGAATCGTTTTGCCTCCAGGAGATTGATCCGATTTGTATTGATGATTTCTTCTGTGGTTGTTGTTGCTACTATATTCTTATCTTCTTCGTTATCCTCTTCTTGTGGAACGTCGTATTCCCAATGAGGCCAATTCGGTTCATTACCATTGATCCATGTGGGCCCGCTCCACCAAGGCTCGTAACTTATTAGACGAGTCGGAATGGTTCCTCTGGTAGCAATGTCTGCTGGATTGTGTTCGCTTGGGATATACCGATATGCGAATTTCGCCATTTGTATTTCTTCCACACGATTCTGTATAAATTTTGGTAGGAGGCGAGAGTTGTTTTGTATCCAATGTAGTGCACAGCGAGAGTCCGACCATACCACTACCTTTGGATTTTCTAATTGCATTTGTTTGATGACAAACTGAGCTGCGCGTACACCGATGAGAATAGCTAGTAATTCTAGCTTTGGTATCGTTATTCCTTTAATAGGTGCTAATCGTGATTTAGCAAAGAGTAACGACGTATGCGTATTTTGATGGGCGTATACTACTGCAGCATATGCCACTGTAGATGCATCGGTGAAAACATGAAAGGTAATTTGTTGTGATAAATCGATTGTGAATCGCGGGATTTCCTTGATATGAGTTGAGCGTTTTACCACAAGATTGTTCCAGGTTTCAATCAATTGATTGTCGAGGGGTTGATCCCAATGTATGTTTTTTCTCCAGAGTTCTTGGAGAAATATCTTGAACGGTACTATCAGTGGTACTAGGAATCCAAGTGGGTCGTATTGTGAGGCGATGAACCGTAGAATAGTTCTTTTTGTTGTTGTTTGTTCGGTCCATGGATTTAGTGTTATTTGGATATGATCCTTGTGTGGATTCCACTTAATCCCTAATATTTTCTTTATTTGACTCATTCGTGCTCGGTCCGACTTGGGTAGTTGCTCATTGAATGTCTGGTCATTTGAGAGGAATTCTCGCACGTTCATTGACGCATCCTTGAAAATTGATTTTGTTTCTTCATATTTATTCAAGGCTTCCTCTTCATGGCTCGCTGATAAGATGATATTGTCGACGTAGAGATTCTTCTTGATTTCACGTGCAGTTTCAGTTTCATAATGTTCCAAATGATAATTGAGAGTTGCTGATAATAAAAAGGGTGACGATATCACTCCAAAGGGGACCCTTTTGAATCGATAGCATATTAAATTATCTCTGTCCACCTGTTTCTGAATATCTTTTACCCATAGAAAGCGTGTGCAGTCCCGTTCCGTTGGCAGCAACTCTAATTGTAGGAAGGCTTTTTCGACGTCAGCTAATATGATGATTTTCATTGTTCTTAGTCGAATTAATATTCCAGCTAAATCGGGAAGGGTGATAGGGCCTCGATACAAGACATCGTTTAAGCTTTTCCTGCCTCTGAGGTGAGCGGAAGCGTCATAAACTATTCTGACCTTTGTCGTGGTGTTATCTGATTTTACCACTTCATGATGGGGCAAGTAATGGATAATACCTTGATGGTTTGTGAAATGACTTACCCTTTCGATGACATTGGATCTTAACTGTTCATTGATTGTTTCATTGTATGTGTAGTGGAAGCAAAAAAATGTTTTTGGAAACAAACCTTTATGATTTGGTTAAATTGTTATTCGGGGGAGAAGTTTGATGTCAGGGAGATGTGTTGGATGCCAGCTAAATATTTGGGCAACAATTGAATAAACTGATTCGGAGGATTGGATGATTTTTTAAAACTGATCTAATTGACAATAGTATGGTTATAAAATCTACATTGATGTTAGACAATGATCCAAACAAAGGAGAGGAGGTGCTTGCATGGGCACCAGTTGCTAATAAAGAGCTTATTAGATAACCGCATGATTATGATAGCTAACAAAGAACAATGTAGATATCCTCATGATTGTAAGGATTGCTAACAAAGAACGATGTAAATTGTTTCAATATGTAGAAGCATAAATTTGGAAACAAAGAGTCCGAAGTATAAGCATTATTTGCGGAAATTACGTAGATATCTTTACTACAATTTGCAACTCATATTTTTAGATCGCGATATTAAAATCCGCGACACTCCCGACCGAAGGAGCTAAATGCTTTAGTTCGTTGGACAGCTTTGGTTGATTGCTTCGCCTTATAGCGCTTCTAGTTCGTAGAGCAATTGGTTCTTGTTCATTGACATTTTGCACTGATTTGTTAAACATTGTTGGTTGAGGGTCAATTTCCTCACCTTTGACTTCCAGTGGGTATAACATATTCACCGGTCTGTTGAGTATTTTTCCTTTCGGTAATTCTATCGAGACACTTCTCACTTCTCCATCCTTTCCTGTTTTGATTTCTCTTATTCTGGCTAGTTTCCACATGCCACGGGGAATTTCTGGTTCATTTAGTAACACAATCTCTCCCTCGTGGGGAGTTCTTTTACTACATCTCTCGGAGAAGAGTGTTCCCTTTGTGCTCTTTCTTTAAGAGTATTTAAATATTCCTCTTTCCATATTTCCCAGAAGGCATCGAGGGCCTTTAGTGTATTTGACCAGTATTGAATGAGTTTTTCTCTCGAATCCAATTTATGAGGGATAAAATCATCCATTTCATTCTTGTTTTTAGCAGGCATGATTAGATGCGCATTCGGTAGTATAAAGTCAATTGGACGCAATATGATACAATCATCAAAATTTACGTAAGTTAGTGGTCGAGTATTCAAAATACTTTCCACTTCCGCTACTAGCGTAATCAATTCCCGTTCCCATAATAACTTTCTGCCGATGGCTCTTTTCATTGCCCTTTTTGTTAACCCAATAAGTCGCTCATATACTCCTCCGTTCCAAGGCGCCTTTGGTATTATATTTTTCCAGATCATTTTCCTTTCCGCTAGGAATTCATTTAATTGTTGTTTCACAATGATTTTAAAAATTAACTGGAATTGACCAGCGTTGTCGCTTAAGATTAATTCTGGAAAGCCTCGTCTTGCTGTAAATCTTCTGAAAACATGTAAAAAGCTTTCGGCTGAAAGAGTTTCTACTACTTCTAGATGTACAGCTCTTGTTGTGAAACATGTGAATAGTGCTACCCATCTTTTTGTTAGCCCATTATCACTCCTGATATTCACAGGACCTAAATAGTCTAGTCCTACTCGCGCAAAGGGTCTTGATCTTGTGGTCCGAGATGCTGGAAGATCAGCCATAGTTGGTAATTTGAATGGTTTAGTTGTCCAGCGTCTGCACTTCATGCACTTATTCAAGATTCGTTTGACTTCCGTTCTACCTTTTGGGATCCATATCGTCGATCTCAGATTTGAGAGTGTATGAGCAATTCCAGCATGATACAGTTGTTCATGTCGTTGCTGAATAAAGAGTTCAGTTATGGTGTTGTGTCTCGGGAGATATATTGGGTGTAAGTTACTCTCTTTCATTTCAGAGTTAACTACGCGGCTTTTGTATCTCCATAGTTCGTTATCATAGAACAAATTCCATTTGATTATTTCATCTTTGGTAACTCCTTCTGACTGTGCTTGTTTGAATAGCACAATTTCTGACAACTCGTAATCCTGTGTTGTCAATATATTCTTTTCTTTCGTTGCCATCTTTAGCCAAGGAATTTCCCTTTTCATTGTTAATCTTATGAATTTCAGAACCCAACCAGTTGTTCTTATTAATCTTGACCATTTGCTAAAACGACTAGCATCTAAGATTCCGAAATGTTTGTTTATGATAATTGGTTCTGTGATGTGGGCCACAATTTCTTCATCCTGGTAATCCTCATTGTAATTGTATTTCCACTGTGGCCATTTTGATTCGTTTTCTGTTAACCACTTTGGTCCTTTCCACCAAAGATCATATCCTTTTAGTTTATTCGGAGAGATTCCTTTTGTAGCTATATCAGCTGGGTTTTGTTCACTTGGGATATATCTAAAATGGATTTTCGCCTTTCGTATTTCTTCTACCCTATTTTGTATGAACGTTGGTAGTAAACGGGAACTATTGTGAACCCAATGAAGCGCACATTGAGAATCGGACCATAAAATTGTTATCACGTCCTCAAGCTCTTTTTGTTTTAATACGAATTGTACCATTCTCACTCCGATGAGTATTGCCAGTAATTCTAATCGAGGTATTGACATTCCTTTAATTGGCGCAATTCGGGATTTAGCAAACACTAAGAATACTTCTCTTTCTTGAGTTCGAATGTATAAAGCTGCTGAGTATGCAGCAGTTGATGCGTCAGTAAAAACATGAAATTGTACTTGCTTGGAACAATTTGTTGTGAATCTTGGTAGATCCTTTAGTTTCTTTGGCCATTCGTTCGTGAGTAATTTCCACGTGGTTTCATCTTCCTCACTTATAGTTTGATCCCATGAAAGGTTCTTTTTCCACAAAGTTTGGAGAAACAATTTGAATCTTATCAGTATAGGAACTATGAATCCTAGTGGGTCATATTGTGAGGCTACGAATTGCAATATAATTCTTTTAGTTAATTTCTTACCAAACCATGGTTTTAACGTTACTTGAATGATATCTTGTTTGTGGTACCAATTGAGACCTAGAATTTTTTTATTGAACTTACCTCTGCTCGATCTTGTACCGGAAGTTTTTCATTGACTTCTTGGTCGTTAGAGAGAAATTCCCGTACATTCATTGATGCTTCATTGAATATAATTTTAATTTCCTTATAATTGGAAAGAGCTTCGTTGGTTCCTTTGGTTGGTATTATAATGTTATCGACATAGAGATTTTTCCTTAACTCGAGTGCGATTTTGCTTTTACAAGTTTCCAAATGATAATTGAGTGTAGCGGACAATAAAAATGGAGATGATACAATTCCAAATGGAACTCGTTGGAAACGGTAACAACTTACGTTTTCTTCGTTAACTGGACTTCGAATGTCTTTCAACCAAAGAAATCGAGTGCAGTTTCTATCTGTTGGATGCAATTCTATTTGCAAGAACGCCTTTTCTACGTCTGCTATTATTACATTTTTCATTGTACGGAAACGTAGCAAAACTCCAACCAAATCAGGGAGTGTTATTGGTCCCCGATATAAAACATCATTTAAACTTTTCATTCCTTTACAATGAGCTGATGCATCATAAACTATCCTCAGATTTGTCGTGGTTTTATTTGGTGTTATTACTTCGTGATGAGGCAGATAATGAATAATACCAACTTCATTCATTTCCGATGACACTTTCTCAATTATATTGGAATTGAGTTGTTCTTCAATAGTTTGATTGTATCGACTTAGTAATTGAGGTTTCATTTGAAGCCTCCTAATTAACGACTTTAATCTTCCAAGGCAAAGTCCGAAATTATCGCTTAGTTTGTTCTTTGAATCTTTCCAAGGCCAACAAACTTGATATCTTCCCTTGTCCCTAGTGATAGTTTGTTTAAATTGCTGCAATGCTTTTTCATCATTGTCAGAGTTTATTTTGTCTTGTATACCCATTATTTCCAGTTTCCAAAAGTGATCTAAGTCTGGAATATTGACGGCATTGACTTGAGAAATCGGACTTACTGATGTGGTTTCTGAAATACTGTCGTGTATTTCATTTATATACCCACTTCCAGCTATTATAGGTCCAACCTTTGTATGGATCAATGAAAATCCTGATTTTAAGTTCTCTGCTTGGTCAAACTGGATAAACTTGAAGAAGTGATCCGCACCTATGAGTATGTCCGGTTGTTTCCATTTGTTTTTGAAATTACTAAACTGATTTCGTTTGTCTATCATCAACAATTCCTTTTGTTTAGATTAACTACTTGCAATTCATTCGTCAAGTGGTTAACTGTTATTACATCTAATCGGATTATTTCTTTATTTCCAATTTTTACTCCGATTTCAGTTTTAGTAGTGATACACGTTTTTGGCGTCTTATCACCAAATGAAGCAATTTTTATTTCCATCTCGTTAGTTTCTTGTAGATTCAATCGATAAGCCAAATCCTTTGATATGAACGATAATTGAGAACCAATATCGAATAGAATTAAAGCCTTTTGTTGGATTTTTGGGCGATTTGGATTGGTTACATTTATTTCCTTACATAACAGTAAGGTTCGCTTTTTCCATTGATTTCCTTTTTCGGTAATGGAGTTAGCGATTGTGACTGAACCCAACCTTTCTTTGTTGGAATCCACTGCTTGCGTGAGTTCCTTGTAGTTGTTGGGACACAGTGCTGTATTGTGTGGACTTTTACAATGGAAACACAAAGGTTTCCTTTTTACAATCACTTGTTGCATGTCCTTTTCGTAAACATTTGAAACATGCAGTGATTTCTCTCAAACGTTCCATCCGGAGTTTGAGAGTGGGATAGATGTTACATTCATTGTTCCAGTGGTCCTTATTGCAAAATACGCATGGTTTCCTTTTCCCATTTATAGAAATTTTTCCTGGAACCTTTTTGATTTGATTGTATTATCTCCCTTTGTTTGGTTGATTGTGGCGAAAGCTGACGTTTCGCCTCTAACATTATTTTTGTTTGTTTTCTTCTCCCTTGTGTCTGCTTGACTTCTAGCAACTTCTTCATTTCTTAGAACTAGTTTTGTCAGGTACTGCCGGATATCCTTAACTGACCAACTCGTCGAATCCTCTTTCAATTGGTATAATTTATCAATTATCCACGCTGGTAGTTTATTTTCAATTGTAATTTCGATGCTTGAATGCTCTAAATTTTCACCTATAGCTTCCAGTTGTCGAAATGTTCTCTCCATGGCTTCTATGGTTGCTTTCCACTCTCGGTCATTTTTTTTGATGGTATTCAACTCGTTGTAGAGTGATTTCTTTATAAGGAAAGGTTTACCATATTTCTCTTTTAGTAAACCTATTATAACATCGTAGTTTTCTGGCGCTATATCATAACCTCTTACAGATAACAAAGCATCTCCTTTAAGACATGATATCAGATAGTTTAACTTTTGAATATCTGGGATGCTTTGCTCATGGACTGCTGCCTTGAAACTACACCAAAATTGCCTCCACAATTTTGGATCCCCACTAAACGTTATTAGTGGTAATTGAGGAAGTTTTATTTCTGCTTGATTTGTGTGAATCATACTATTCTTTGGAAATGATTCTTTGACCTCTTCTTGTTTTAAATGTTGTAGTACCGAGCAATATTCATCAGTATGTATTTTAAGGGTAATAATAGTTTCTCTTGTTCTAGTGATTAAACTTAAAATACCTTGTGGATCGTCAACCATATTGGCGTATTTCGTCTCCTCTTCCTTTCTCCTCGTTGCTATTGTCAAGCTCTGAATATTATCCAGCCAATTTTGATTAGCTGTTTCGAGTAACCCAGCATAATATTCGAGATGTGCGATCTTCTCCTTGACGATTCGCAATTTAATTTCGTATTGATGCTGAAGTTCCCCTCGTGATAGTGTTTGAGACGGGGAGGTCAGATCGAGTTCACTTGCTTCTTTAAGAAGTTCTAGAGTTCTCGACTTCGATAATTCGCTTCCTTTTCTTATACTGTCGGACATGTCCCGGCTCGTGGCACCAAAATTGTAGTGGAAGCAAAAAAATGTTTTGGAAACAAACCTTTATGATTTGGTTAAATTGTTATTCGGGGAGAAGTTTGATGTCAGGGAGATGTGTTGGATGCCAGCTAAATATTTGGGCAACAATTGAATAAACTGATTCGGAGGATTGGATGATTTTTTAAAACTGATCTAATTGACAATAGTATGGTTATAAAATCTACATTGATGTTAGACAATGATCCAAACAAAGGAGAGGAGGTGCTTGCATGGGCACCAGTTGCTAATAAAGAGCTTATTAGATAACCGCATGATTATGATAGCTAACAAAGAACAATGTAGATATCCTCATGATTGTAAGGATTGCTAACAAAGAACGATGTAAATTGTTTCAATATGTAGAAGCATAAATTTGGAAACAAAGAGTCCGAAGTATAAGCATTATTTGCGGAAATTACGTAGATATCTTTACTACAATTTGCAACTCATATTTTTAGATCGCGATATTAAAATCCGCGACAGTATGTGGTAAGTAGATGTTGGTTGCGGTGAAGTCGCTTGATTAACGACTGTAAGCGTCCGAGACATAATTCGAAATTGTCGCTTAATTTGGAACTGGTGTCTTTCCATGGCCATGCGACCTGGTATCGTCCGTCGGATTTTCTAATCGTTTGCTTAAATTGTTTTAAGGCTTCTTCATCGTCATTGTTTTCGGGTTTGTCTTGTATGCCTATTAGTTCCAGTTTCCAGAATTGATCTAAATCTGGAACCTTGATCGTGTTAGCGGCGTAAACTATTTGTGAGGACATTCGTGAATTGGGAGAAATTTTCTTTGTATAGCCAGACCCAGCCAGGATCGGGCCCACTTTAGTGTGGAGCAGTGTGAATCCCGATTGCAGATTCTCTGCTTTGTCGAAATTGATGAATTGAAAGAAGTGGTTGGCTCCTATTAATATATCCGGTTGCTTCCATTCACTGTGGAAATCAATTGTTGGACTTCCTTTGAGGGATCGTATCTCGCTTTCACTTAAGTTGACTACTTGTAGTTTGTTTGTTAAATAGTCCACGGTGTTCGCTTCGAGCAACACTGTACGGTCCTTTCCGATTTTTATCCCTATTTCAATTCTGGTTGTAAGGTGCGTGTTCGGGTCTTTTTTGCCGAATGAAGCGATGTTTAATTTCCCTTCATCTGTTTCGTTAAGCATTAGTTGTTTGGCTAAGTTCTTTGAAACAAAGGATAATTGTGATCCAATGTCGAATAGGGCTAAAGCCCTTTGTTGAGTATTTGGATTAGTTGGGTTGAACACATTTATCTGCTTGCATAAGAGTAGGATGCGCTTGTCACGTTTCTTCTCTTTTTCGACTATTATATTTGTCGTGGTAGTGGAGTCTGGATCCTCTGGTTTATTGGGCATTTCCTTGAATTTGTTAGGGCACAGCGCGGAATTGTGTTGACCCTTGCAGTGGAAGCAATTCCGTTTCTTGTTTTTGCATCTGGCTGCCATATGTCCGATCTTGAAGCAGTTGAGGCAAGCGTTTAGTTTCTTCAGACGTTCCAGCCTTTTTTTGAGAGTGGGATAAATCTGGCACTCTTCATCCCAGTGATTCTTGTTGCATAGTGCACAAGGTCTTGATAGGGCTTTGATGA